AGACATATATATATATCACTCTATGGTGATATATTCTGATATATTTTAACTGATGGAACAAAATGAAATTGTTGTATAGGAAACCCTTTATTTGGCAAAGTATAATGTTTATATTTGGACGTTTGTTGGGTAACCTGACAATTTGTTGGAGTGATGTAATTCTATTGGTGATCCACTTTAGAGAATTTTAATGCGTAGAAGATCTTTTTAAAAATCATGCTTGCTATGTAAGTATCTGTGAAACAAATATTCGTTATCACTTTTATGTAGAATGATTTTTTTTCGCATAAATTATCACAGACCCTTTAAGTATATGTATATGCAAACATACATGGTTATGTACATACCTCCGTGAACTCTGGAAAAGCCCCGGAAATAATCAATCAAGTGTATCGCGTGTATATAATATTACAAAAAAATCGTCAAAAATTATTTGAAATATTATTTAAAGAATCTATTTGCAGTCATATATACTTGGGTTAATTTTTTTTACACACACGAATTAAATTTGAAATTCTAATTGAAAAGTCTCGTGACAAAAAATCTCATGGTTTCATTTAAAACACGAACAACAGCATTAGCTTTGAAATCGGAGGCAGAATCTAACGTGACAGCTATAGTGTTATCAAGAAATTAAAAGTTCGCTGCCCATAAAAAAAATGAAATACGACAAGCATCTTTTTGGTTAAGCGAAAGAATAAACTAAATGATAAGTCAGCGCGATCAAGGAGGTTCAAACCCTTTTACCCTGACCATATCCGTTCGGCAGTCGCTGCAAAAGTCAAAGGTCGCATTTCGTAAGTAATCAGGCAGTGATTGAAGAAATAAAGAATGTAATGACTCTCCAGAAATCGTTGATTTCAATGGTGTACCAAATTAAAAGAGTCAGAGTTCGTTTCTTTCAGATATTCCTTTTGGACACCTTTGATATTGGATTAGAACCCTTTTTTTTTAATAAGAAAAATACTGCAGCAAAAATAGAACCATTAAATCGCGGTTAATCACCACTTTAGCACTCAAAAGTTTTCCTATGAACAAAATATATATTTTGGGTTTACATTTGACTCTGCTCAATACACACTATACCAAATGCCGTTCAATTAAAAACCGTGTTCGATTTGCCAATCCTCTACTCGCTATGTTTTAACTATACTATTCAAAACTTTACTTCTCGGCGAAGTTATTCTGTTTCAATTAAATAAGATCTAATAAAGATACTTCATTGAAAGTGATTTCATGTCTTTCTGTCTTATCGTCGTTTGATTAAGATAGTTTATTTAAATAATGCATTTGTTCAATTCCCTAAAACTAAATTTTTGAAAAATGATCAGGGCAAATATCATTCCCAAATCAATGAGATACAAATAAACGATTTTTATACCCTGCACAGGGTATATTAAGAATTTACATGGGTTCCCTCGGGTTAAAAACATTATTTTTTCGACAATTTTTTTCTTATATAAAAAAAACAACTATTTTATAAAATTTTTTATTGTTACAAACATACACTATTTACAAGGAAATTCTGAATTTTTTGGAAAAAATATTTTAAACTCGGCCATTGCGATGCCATTTCCGGTGACCCCTCGGAAAAATATTCGCCTGAGTTAGCAGGATAACTCTTTACAACATTGCCTAAAGTAAAAAAATACACGCTTTAATTAAAACCTTAACTTACAACTTGGACGAAAGAAAAAAAACTGAAATTTGGATTTTTGGCAAACATTTTTACAACAAAAAAACAAAAATGTCAGTGAAAAATTCGCGATTTTTTTTTTTTTTTCAAATAGTTGTAATTGAGATCGGCCGAGCAGTTAACGAGAAATCTTGCCAACCGACACAGTTTCGACCAAAATGCGTTTAAAGACAGCGCACTCGAGCGCACAAGTTCTCAAGGCTGTATCTCCGAACCTATTACTCTGATCAACTTGAAAATTTGGGACAATATTCTGTCTTATTTAATAATACAATAAAAAGAATCCATTTTTTGAAACCCGTAAATCCATGTAACCAATTAAGGTGAGAGAATAGCACTCCCAAATCAATGAGAAAAAAATATATGATTTTTATACCCTTCACAGGGTACATCAAATTTGCTGCGAAGTTTGTAACACGAAGAAAGCAAACAAAATGGAACAACCTTTATCAATTTCGTGTGAAGTTTGATCTCCATACGTCAATTAGTGTTTAGTGGGTCATGTTTGATATACAAATGATCAATGCGTCGGCCTGAGTCGATTTAGCCATATCATGTGCGTCAGTTGTAAAGATGTAATTCTGATTTTTTTTTTATCCCCAAGAAGCTGCTCATTTGTCGAAACCGCCGATATTGGCGCACAGCGCATAGCTGTCATACAAACTAATTGATCAAAATCAAGATAAGGATACTTTTATACCCTTTCGTCGTCAACGTCATTATGAGACCAATAACTGAGAACGTTTGGGTGAAATGACATACAAATTTGACTATACTAAATGCTAATTAAAGTCAGTTGTCTAAGGCAAGGATAGCGAGCGCTTTTTTTACTCTAGATAAATAAAGAGGTATGCCTACGTTCAAAGTCCGAGCACTCTACTGTAGCTACATCCGTAAGTAAATATTTAAAGTGTTTAATCAAATAAACGTTATCTCCAGCGAACAAAATTAGCAGCTCTATGCATTTTGCAACAGGAAATAATCGCTTATAAAATATAGCACATATTCATATAYTTTATATATACACATATGTATGTATGTGCATGTTTTAATGACATTTGACAGTTGAGCTGATTAAAAGCGCTCACCTCCATTAAGTAAGTGCAATTAATTAAGTAAGCACAAAAAATGAACGCGACATATATACACATGTTATCAGTTGAGGCATTATTATAAAACCAGTTAACACCGCTAAAATTATTATTATTTTTTTTTTATAACCGCTATTCCAGCAAACCTCTCAAAGCATTACACAAAAGTGGTACTCATCCTCCTTTTGCAAGAAAAAACTTAAAAATTGGTGCATAAGTATGTGTGCGCATCTTGTAGGCTCAATTGCGTATGATTTAATGAAAAATTCAATGATTTTCTACAAAAAAATTATCCTTACTTCTGTACAAATTGACATGCGGTCAATTGTATTTGATTATATTAACAAGTATTTAAGTCACTTATGCATGTATATGTGTGCATGTGCATATATGCTGTGTGAGGTGTGTGCTAAATGTTTGACATGCAATCGCTGGCATAACTGTGAAGGTGGCATTGTTGCTGGTGGCCAAACCAACCGCATCCAGTCGTAACTGAAAGTCTGCCGTGGCCACCTGAATGCGAACACAAACACACACAGCCATACGCTCACATACATGCATTCGTGATTATAGTGTGTTACGGCACAGTGTTTGCGGCCAACTGACCAAACGACCAATCGACCAACCGACCAACCGACCGACTGATCGTTCGCGCGGCAGCCGACTCAAGTCTCATCAAGTTGTAAATCTTAAAAATCTCGCGTGTCAGCTGGTTTATCTAAGTGGCATTTAGCTGCATACATCTGTATGTGTGTATGTGCTGATAAGTGTCATGCATGACTTGTTTGAATGTGACTATGTGCCGTTGTATGTGTGTGCAATCATTCAATCACACCGAGTTTCTCACGTCTTTTTTTTTTTTTTTTTGATCTTCCTTTCTTTTGTTGGCGTTCCGTTGTGCTCTTTTGACTGTCAGGTCCAACCGGCCTACCGGCAATTGCTGCTGCTGTTGCTGCTCTTTTCGGTTCGTCTTAATCAAGTTGTCAATTAGAAATGTAGATGCCTACTGCTATTGTGTAACCGGTGCATACTAGTGAGTGCAGGCTCGTCAACCTAGACATTCACAAGTGATCGTAAACTTTTGTTTAAGTTTATATCGCAAACGTTTCTTATGTACTTTCATATATATATATGTATGCCGTCCATCTGCGAAACGATATCAAAAACTGGAGATATACGACTGCAATCATATATATGTATTAACAAAATACGAAAAGACTTTTTCGGCTACCCAATATTAAATAAGTTAAAGAGCATAATATATAATAATAATCATAGAAATCGCTGACGCTTAAAAATTCCCTCAGTATCTTTGTTGTCTTTAGTGTCAAAGGTTACTGTCAATTTAAAGAGTCGTGACTTCACATCGAGGGGTTTTCAGTTCTTTCCTCATTTATACTTTTAAGTTTCGATAATGGTTTAATGGAAGTATACTTCTCTTACTATCGTGTGTATGTCAACATCCGATTAAGACCTTAGGGTATTACTTTTATGACATCCTACTTTCTGGGACAACAAACTCTACAAATTTCTAAAATTCACGAAAATTCTATCACATTCTGGAACACAATTAAACTCAATCTTTTAGCAACGTTATCAGTAACTGTCTATAGCAGTCCTTGGTAAGATTATTCTACGCGAGATCTGTGCTATTGCTTGATATGGTAGTGGTAGGAATGAATGACGATGCCATCAGGATATCGGTACTCACTCTTAAAGCTACAAGTGGCACAGTCAATGTGAAGACACAACATACTTGAAATGTGAAACTTTTTCCATAAGTACCGCTACGAATCACATACACTTTGATGAGATCTTTGAGCGCATATCCTCGACAAACTTTCAGCTCACTTCACCGGCGGCGGCAGCGGCTTCTCTCTGCAGGGTCCCCATCACTTGCATGTATGCAAGTCTTTGTTTGCTTAATGGTTCTGTAAATTGCCAAGCAAAATGTTTGAATTGGTTTGTGCATTTTCATTGCTTTTTTTTTTTTTTTTTTTTTT